GGGATGATACTAATGACCTATTTATTGCGGCTAGAGGGGAAGTCTGCCACCCATCTGCAAAGCTTCTCTGGGAGGCCATGGAGTGGAACGACATGAATCTTACCATAAGGCTATATGAGTTTACTCCCCAGTTGCGTGACGTAAGCTAGGATCGTTGGTGCCGGAAACCAAACTGCCTGCCCCTAATCAAGCCGCAACGTCCAAGTTACTTCAAAAGAACATCTACGTCACCTTACTTATAACAGCAAGCAAAGCTATAGGCCTCTAGTTGTAAGGGTGGGTCTCAGATCCTTTTTTTGAGAGGGGTTTGACATGAGCGAATTTGCAGTTTTTTGGAAAAGTCTGGAGGTCCTGGGCTCTATTTCTAATAGTAGTGTCAGGCTGCAAATTGCCTAACACAAGTTTGTGATCGTATATATCGCATGTCGATACTTTGCATTCTTGAGCTGTTCCCGAACCCCGGTAGAATTTAATTAAACATCCAAAGCACCCTCGGCGGCAACCGTGTAACTTATCGCCTTCCCCTTTTTGTAAATATCACCAATACCTTTGTCAAGTTCTTTAGGGCCCATTATTCGAAGTTGCTCCCTTTCTTAGAGCCATAACTTACTTTAATACTGTTATAAGTTTCCGAGAAAATGTGGCAGCAGGCTGACGCACAGGAAAACACTGCATCGACCGCTGGGAATAGCACTGGTATATATGAGGCTCTGAGCCTGTAACGGCTCCATCCATTCTTTGCGGCTACATTTGCATTTGATGCAATTACGGAAAGTGTATCATTCGGCGAAAATCCACCTTAAAATCGTAACTAGCTGAGATCACGCCGTTTACGACTTAAGCGCGGCGCTTAACCGTTTTTGGCCAGATTTGCCTTTTTATAATGAAATCGTTCATTTTATATTTTAAATATACTCAGTGACATTGGAAATGGCACTCCCAGAAAAAATAAATCCTTCAACTTGTTTTCTTTTGCGACATAATGACTATATTTAGGGCATACTGTGGCAACAATGTCAACTTTTTAGCTTTGTTTTTGTTCACGTTTGTTAAAATTTTATCTCTTAGTTTTTTTGCTTCCTACCTGGCAGCAAGATATTAGTAATAATTGATGGTTTCGCCTCTTCGTCCAACAATATCGACCCAGGTGTTGCTCAGGGATCGGTCTTGGACCCAGCATTGCTACTACTACATATAAACGATCTCCTGTCCTGCACTATCATTCTCATCCTCAGCTTTGCCGATGATAGAACTCTACACATAGGCGTTCAGTGTGACATGCTGCTCTGCTGACGAACCAGAAATAAGAAAACATCTGTACTTGTACCTCGACTAACAAAAAGTGTTCTAGCGCTCATATAGTTTCGATGGATGACCGAGTTCTGCCTGAAGAGAGTTTTTCCCGTTCTGCTACTCTTATGTATGTCATAAATTGGATTACCAAGGCGTCTTTAAGTTCCTTATATCAGTCGTGGTGCTCCGGTGTTTAGGATCTGCCTACGCGAATGCTTGAGTAAAAAACCCATTAACACAGCTTTCACCTGGCATATACCATAAAGATCAGTAATATTAACACTTGTTTGTGGAAAATAGATTGTCCATGTGTTACAGCATCAGAAGCGGCCATCTTCGATGCCAGTTGCTACACACATCAGTCGGTCTTTTAAATGCATTATGTACAAAATCAGTTACTCACCTGTTAGGTAGTCGTCGCAAGTATTCACCTTAATGAGTCTTACTGGAGATCCTATTGTTTGTTTATCTTAGCACAATAGCACAAAGCTTTTACTTAATAATACCTGTAATAACCAAGCAGTAAAATTTTATTGGTTAAGTTCACAATTACTTACCAGAAAGATTGTTCATTTCATCATCATCATCATCAAAAAACGCCGAGACATGTCAAAAGATTTGTCAGTCGGGACAACTTTTTAACCAAAAACTACTTCACCCCTTTCACCCTCGGCCTCCTAGGGTGATTCCCTTAAAAATTTTAAGTGACAAGGGATATCGAGTAACAGCTTGTTTGAAAGGTCATTCAAAGTCCTGTATTTTGACAATTGATTTTTCAAAATCAGTTAATTCGTTTTCGAGAAACTTAGAAAAATATTTATCTTAATTTGTTCAGAAAGAAAACAAAAATACACGAAAATACCACTTTTTATTTAAATTAGTGTTCACGTACCTTTGTAACAATCTTGGGATAGTAAAAATTAATTTATTGATTCACTTTCACTTTCAAAATGCTTACACACTAGACGGAAGTGTGGAAATGATTCTAATTTATGGTGCCCAAAAACAATGTGCTCGGCAAGCTGCCGTCACGCCAGACATCCGGGGAAGATAACTTCGCATAGGTATGTTTTGGAACTTGTTACTAAATTTACTCGAAATGGATCCGTTGCAAATAAAAAACATGATCATCGGAGAGTTTTGGATGACGATATGTTTTTGAAAATGTCCGTGGGGAGTTTGAACGGGCAACACTTATTGACATAAAAAGTGATATGTTCGTATGTTTTTGTTTTCTGTCTGAACAGCTTAAGATAAATAAAGATTTTTCTAATTTTCTTCTAAAACAAATCCACCGATTTCAAAGAGCCAAATGTCAAAATAAAGGACTTCGAAAGACCTTTCAAACAGGGGTGAAGTAGTTTTTGGATAAAGAGTTGTCCCCCTTGACAAGTCTTTTGACGCGTCTCGGCGTTTTTTATTTTAATTAGTGGTTTTCCATAAATCCGTTGTGGGAGGTTTTCAGATGAACAGCCTGTATGTTAAAGAAGCATATCTAGCAAACTATATATTTTATCATTTATCTTGGATTGTTTACAATAATGTTCCTGCAAATCGTATTTTTCTGCTAGCATTACGATTCTTACAAACGCATGATTCCGATTACCCGTCAGTTGTAGGATGGTGGTACACATTTTCCATTATGAGTCATCTCTTGCGGAATACTGATCAAACATTGGTTCCAATACATCATTTTCCCCTGAAACAATATGGCTGCTTCTTCTTTACTACCTACGTGCATCGAATAGTCCTCATATATTGCCGGTTATATCGTACTAAAAGGCCGCAAGGGCTAAGAGCCCTAAAGGCAGATATGACGTATATAAAATTTCCGAATGATCCCTAAAACCCGCTGTTTGTCTTTATCAGATGAACCAATCGTTTTGATCATTTATATGACAAGGGAAAACACAGAAAGGTGAAAGTCACATCACAAAGCATGCAAGTTTGGGAATTATGCAGATGTCTAGTTTCACTGTAATAGACCAAGGAAGTATAATCGAGAGAATTTTTTAATTATGGACAAACATCTCAGCAAATAGCGCAGGAGCAGTTCTGACTTTCAGGTATTGTTAACTATAAACGAGAGTAGTAGAATATTGTCACCCGGAAAGGTCATCCAGTCTGATGGTAATGATGCAATAGATCGACTCTTAGAAGGTGCTGAGAGGTTATGGGTCCAGTGCCTCTATATTCTGCCTATTGATCCCATGGCTATTATGTTAAGAGAGTTCAAAAATGAGTTGGAAGATATGCTTTATTAGTCAGTCTGCTCCTCAGCTGTCTTAACAGCAAAATGGAGACACTGTGAGCTACGCAACCAAGGAAAACAACAACTTTTCACAGGGATAGTCTAAGCCAGTGGTCGCCAACCCTTTCAGTGTGTTGAGCTACATTGATAATTTTGGAATAAACAGTGTAAATAGTAAGTAAGCAATGTAAGCCAAATTAAATGAAATTATACACAGTTGTATGCGACATACATGTATTTATTTTACTAATACTAATGTATACTAATATACTTAAATAAGCTAATAACTAAGGCCCGTATCGTCAGTCTTCCCTACAATTGTAGGGTGCGTTTATGGCCTCCTTGATTGTCATACTCTTTTCTCTCCTTCAAAAATTTCTAGATTACACTCGTCCCGTGTCAGCGTCAGCTCTCTCCTGTTGTTAAGATATGTGTTCCTTTTAAACTGTAGGTAATTTCAGGCTGATAAAACATGATATAACTCAAAAGCAAGCACAATTTGATAAAAATAGATGTTTGTGACATAACCTCAAAATAGAGCTCTGACACGGAGAAGTAGAAAACTATGGCAATCAAGGAGGCCATAAATGCGCCCTACAATTGTAGGGACGACTGACGATACGGGCCTAATACATACTACATAACTACATCCATTCCTACCAATCGTAGGTGTTTGCAAAATAAAAAAAAAATTTCGTCAGCTACAATGGCATGTAACATACGATTTAATAAAGTAAATAAAAAAAGTAACGCACTATTGTAAACAAAAGCATGTCCAGATAAAAAATGCGTGTTCAATGAGAAGCCTGACACTCAGACTCACTGAAATTTGTTTAATGTTTGGAGTATAATTTGAATTATTATCCAAATGTTCATCTGTAAGTTGATTACGGTACATCTTTTAAATATTCTTCATATTTGTAAAAGAACACTGACACAAATAGGTTGAGCTAAATAACGCTTCCCCTTTCAAGGCTACACGACATATAACTGAATATTTATCTCTACTTACTTGAGGCCAGATACATTTTGTATTTTTATTTGACACTAATGATTTTAAAGCTAAATCATTTTGAAACGCAATCGCTTCCATTTTTGTCGCAACGATGTCTGCGATGTCTTAGATAAAATTCTGCGTACCAGAAGTTGCAAGCTCTTGGATATCAATTTCCATGAAGGGTGAAACAACAAATTGCGCCACTATAGTAACTTCGTTGAAACCCTTGAAATGATTTTTGAAGTTGTCCTTCAAGCTAGAGACTATTTCTACATGATATTTACTGTCATATTGCTCTAATGGACTGAGATATCTTTTCTGAAACAACAAGAAAATGCCTGGTATCGTCATCGACTAAGTTTTGCTCCCAAAACTCAAGCTTTTTCATAAACGCTTTTATATCAGAAATCATTTCTGCTAGTTCGTTGTCTCTCCCCTGAAGCTGCAAATTAAGTTCATTTAATATTTCTGTAATATCCACAAGAAACCAAGATCTCTAAGCCGGACTGAATTTTCCAGTTCCGGAATCGGTTCATCACGTTGTTTGAAAACTTGAAATATAGCAGAAATGGTATCATTAAAACGTTTCAGCTCTCGGTCCTTACTTAACCATCGGACAGAGTGAAGAAGCAGTTCCCCATATTGACAGTAAATTTCATCGGCCAAGGTTTCGAATAATCTTTGTTGTAACGCTTGAGCTCTAATCTCGTTCACAATTTTTACTACCAATTTCATAACTTTGTTTAGTTTTAGAAAATGTCCACTTAATTCTTCTTGAGGGATAATCCAGTGGTAACAGAGAAGTTGCGGAAAACTTTCATCTTTACGACACAACTCCACGAGACCCTTATCACGACCCACCATAGCTGGAGCGCCACCGGTTGTCAATCCTACCATTTTCGATATTGGAATTTTCTGAGAAGAAATAATATCTTAAAAAAACCATCCTGACGAACACGGCCATCTGAGAGGTGTCAATGATATATGTGGATTCATCCAGCTGTAGTGTAAAATAAGCATAGTTATCGAAGTCATTTCTTAACTGTAGAACAATATAATTACTCAATACTTCTACTCGTCTCATCACTGTATTAACAGAAAGTTGCGTAGATTTTATCGCAGATACTATCTCGTCTTATTTCTAAAGTTGGCAAAGAATAAATCTGCAGCTTCTAACAGCGCCTTTTTTATCATTTCTCCGTCTTAATAAGGTTTCTTTTTGTGTAATTATCTATATGATGCTTCAGTTGCACCCTTACTTCTGTCGATTGTTTTTGAAAATATTGGCTGTTGTCCAATTATCTGATTTTTTAATTGTTTGAGTTTTTCTGATCTGGTTGCAGAACGTAATGGGAATGATTTTTCAAAATTCGAATGTACAGTTTTATAGTGCCTCTCGATATTCCTTTTTTTTAGCAACGGATACATAACAAACATACATTTTTACCTTTAACTTTTGTAAAGAAATGTTGTTCTTCCCATTCCGAATGGAAATGGTATGTCTTCATCTTCTTACTACTGCTCATAATGTTTTAATTGCAGGCCAACTTTAATCTAACCGCTGGACTTTGTGTCGTTCAGTTTCGAACTGAGCGCACTGTCACCGCGCCTTGCTTGTGTTTATTATGAGAACTTGATTTTTACACCTTTTTAAAATACATTGTGAGCCACCAGAATTGCCTTTGCGAACGGCCACCGGTAGCTCGAGATCGACGGGTTGGCGACCACTGGTCTAAGCAATATTTTTTTCTTGTTCACCAAGCTATGTGCATTCCGCAGTGGTCGATTCTGGTGAGATAGATGGCGCTTTGCGCTATCTCATTGCGATATGACTATTTCCGTTTCTTTCAAACATCCAACGAAGGTTTAGGTAGTATAGCGTCAGTCTACTCGACGCCATTTTATTTTAATTGCAAGCATTTCATTTTATTGGAGATTTCGATACACCAGTTCAAACGAATCAATCTCATATACCGCATATCATATAGGGTTCTATTTCCACATTGTTGAGACACTGAGTACTAAACTTTCGTTAGTAAAATCTTTAGATGTCATATTTTGTTTCTATAAGTTTTATTCAGTTTTTTTATTGTCTTTACAAGGATTCCTTTTTAACCTATTTGCTGTTTTTAAACATTAGGCCCGTTATTCCAATCCTAGTTGTTTCTGAAAATCTATTCCCAAAATTTAGGACACCCTATATACACGTTTAATATCCCTTCACCAGGCGCTGAGAAAATACTAACGTCAGTGTTAATTCAACGCCGAATCCCAGCGCTGCTACCATCTAGATAGACGGAATATAATTCGTATATTTGCTGTGTAAGCAAACACAAACGAACCATGTTTATGCAACTAATGGCAATATTCGTACGAATAGGGGCGGAAACTACGAGTAGGGGCAGGGGCAAGAGCTCGCGTGCTCCGATTAGCGTTTTGGCACGCTTACGAATGCTAGGAGGAGGCAATTCATATGAGCCGCTTCCGAATTATATAGAGCGGCGTAAGGAGTGTGCACGAGTGGGGATTAACTAGGTCAGGGATTACTATTCCGGCCAGAGCCAGAACAGAGCACCGGAGCTGTGAGGAACGGTGTCGAGCTGTTTCTGACCTACGTTGGATAAAGGTTAACATCCTAACGCGGCAACACCTACGTTGTTTTTTTTTATACAGAATCAGCCGTGCAGTGAGAAGCCATGGCACAACAGCTGCTATGAGGAACTTAGAAGCGCTTTGTTAGTCTGATTTCTGAGCTACCTAAGGTTAGTGGAACTCTTCAGGCAGATTGTACCCCGGTCTCGATACCCTAGGGACAAAGGAACCGTCGCTTTGATTACCTCTGGAAGTTCGACACGATTAGAATGAGAAGTCGGGGCGACAGCGCCCCAAACATTTGAGCAGTACTCGAGGCTAGAACTTATCTCGACCGTGTACAGAGTGCGGAGGTTACGTGCAGTACTGTATTTTGGTATTAAACAGTACCAGATTGTCGCGTTCCCAAGCAGTGATAACCTCCATATCTCTCGTCAGCGAAGAAGGCACTACTTGTCTTGTTTTCTCCAGCTCATCGACAGATGTAGGGGGCTGCCATCTGCAAAGCTGCTGATCTGATTAGTCATACAGAAAAGGAGGTCGTCATATGTAAGAGGAACAATTTCGGAGGCAAGACCGATCCCTTTGAAACATCCGCATTGTCACTGTGGACCTTCGTGGTAGCAAGAGCAATGACATGAGCCTCACCATATGATTGGATAAGGTCACTAAATTGCCTGAAGTAAACCCTTGTAGATCGCTGGTGTTGGAAACCTTACTGAATGTCAAGCCGTGACGTTAAGGTACTCCATAAGCTCGCGACTTAAGCACCTCTCCATGACCAACAGAGGTATAGATCTCTAGCTGTAAGGGTCGGCTTTGGATCATTTGCTTTGGGTCGGCTGGGCTTGAGTTTTCTGCAATATTACCGCATTCGTCAGATATCTGGAAGGGACGCGAAATAACTGGAACAAGCTCGTCCGTACCACAGCAGGAATCAAGTCCGGACCAGAAGCATGATTTCGAAAAAGCTAACTTTATTACCTTCTGTTTATCACTAGAAACTATTTCTGCACCCCAAATCCAGCCGAGGTTAAGCCTATTTTTGTCAAAAAAGAGTTTAATATGTTAGGTTTATGATAATAATGACGATTTTTTAACTCATGTCGCATACAATACAATACAAGAAAAGTATTTCCAATACAATTATCTAAGACTACTTATTTGGACTTAAACTAGTCTGACTCTGAGGTACAGATTTAGTGTTTGACAATAACTGTCTCTAAAAAAATAAGCCATTGTTCTGCAAGGTACTGGCTGAATTTTTTTAATCGATCAATAGTTCAATTACTATAAAAGATATGTAAAAACGTTATTTACAAACATTGTAAGCAAATATTCCGCTACAAGATGATTCATAACTATGTGTCAGCGCAAACATGCGTTTTCTAAAGGAATATGCTGTATGTTTTAGCATATTTTGAAGGGCCCCTTCCAAGGAAGTAGTTTGATATAAGATATAGGCGTTACGGGTTACTTGTACTTTTGAACTTTGATAGCTTGTAGCTTGCAGATACAGTGGCAAACTTGGGAAGATACACGTGTTGCCCCATTTGAATGTTTTATAGAACCACGTGTGTTTGAGAACTTTGTACAATCAATTGACTCAAACAATTCAATCAATGTGTAAACATATTTTCGCGTTTTCTAGACAAGGTATATATCTCAAAAAGGGTCGACCAAACGCAGGAACATCTAGGGCTGACACAGTATGTAACAAAAATGTGGATATCTATAAAAGCAACTCTGGTATCCAGATCAGTTGTAGAAGACCATTTTTTAAATGTAATCTCACGGGGATAGAGGGAGAAAATCATGAGCAGTTCTTAAAAAGTTTTGTGTCTTGAAGCAATACTCCATCCACGTACGTCTGGCCACCCCTAACATGAGTTAGAATTGCATGCTGCTGGGCCAGCAAATAGAGATAATGATACGAACGTTAATAACAGCTATTACATATCGTTTACCGATCACGCAGTATGCTGCAATAGGGTTCGGTTTGCCCATCTTGGAGGCCTTCACATCTCGAAAAGAGAAAAAAGTCACAAGGACTCAAGTCAGGTGAATAAGGAGACTAGTGTATAACAAGTAGCATTATCCCGGATTCTGTCGATATTTTCATCGGTTCTTCAAGATGAAGGCCTTCTGCTTCGTGGCTTATATTCAATCGACTCTCTCCCTTCTGAAAATGCCTCAAACAAAAGAAAAACCTGGGCTCTTGACGAAACACACATCTTTAGCAAGAGTTTCCATTGCATTGTGCCCAAGTCTGAGGCAACACCTGATAGCATACCGTTGCTTGAAATTGATATAACACAATCTAAAAAACTGTTTAACAAGAAAAAATCGTTAGGAACAACCAAATGACTCGAGCTAGTTCAAACTTGTACTGAAAGAGGATCACATCTCTCCGGCACCTCAAGTGCCACAGAGCAGCACTATTAAGCTGAATATCTGCAGCCGTGGGATAGTTTTGATAGTTCACAACATTCAAACAACGAACTATAAAATCTGGCAGCTGATAAAAAATAACAAAGCTATCCCAGGACTATGGCTATGCAGCATAAAAGGCATTGCTTTACGCTGATTGAACGCGGCATATCTTTTTTCATAAGAGAAATAACTGTTTCTTTGAAATATCAATACACTGTATTCTTTTCTCTCACGGATTTTCAACTAAATCAACGAATCGGTAGACTGACGGAGTATTTAACTAAGAATTCAATTTATCCGACAACATGCGCCGATTGTTTGTCCAAACAGTGGATTTGCAAAGTGCAGCATTCGAATATAGAACACAATGAAAGCGTTTCCCATTCGGTATTCCTCTATTCAACTGCGACCGTTTAGCTTTCGATCCCAACGCGCGGCCACATTGGCAATAATAGATTTTTACATTAGATACACATGAGTTATCGTATCAATAATACGTTATAATTACCATGCTGGGAGGCTGATCTGAATGTAGACAACAATGAACGCGCTAGATTTGGTTCACTCTGTCCGGAGGGCAGGAATTTTAGTTTATGTGGGACAGAATATTAGCACAGCATCCCAGGTAAACAGTTCCGTGTCCCTTTTTTCAACAGCCTGCCTGGAGGAGTATTCTTAATAATTTTCGTCTGATTGATTCATGTTGTGTATACAGATGACCGAAAAACAGTTATCAGTTTTTTTTTATCCAAAATGCATGTTTTGTGCATTTATCCAGTGTGAACCATGATAAAATTCATTTTTGTTTTTGAATAAAAGCGCGAAATGCAAGCATTAAGAAGTTCTTTACTGGCAAAAAGGCAGCAATATCAGCTAGCGGCTTGTACCTG